CTGATAGAGATTTTCAACCGATGTTTAGCGACTGACACAATCACCGACATATGGAAAGAAGTCAGATTAACACCTATGCTTAAGATATCCCAGAAGTACCTACAGATAGCATGTATCTCAGTGATGCTGAAGGTGATTTTAAAACTGCTATTTCCCCGAATCTTTACGAGTAGTCATGTGTGATATTAAAAAGTTGCAAACCACTAAGTTTACTCTATTTTAGATGCTATTTCTTACCCTGTGTATTCCCTTGGATGAAAAATGTAAGATTTACGGCTCCAGTTCCTTGGTTAGATCAATGTGTTTACGAGCCATGCCAGATCACGAATATCAACGTCTGTACGAAAATGGCGTTCCCTCATATAAATGTACAGTAATACATGAAGTATCTGCGAATCGCACGCGCTTCACTGTTATGCGGCAGGAGATGTGCCTCCATCCAAGCAAAAAGTGGGAGGGTACAATGATCTCTTCCATCCCTCCTTCTGTTTTCCCTTGATAATGAGTCTCTGCCTACCCCAACCAGTTTCATCAGGTGTAAATTAGATGAATACATCGAACTATGGTGTACAACCCCAGTAATTGAGGAAGCTTCGACACTTCAATGACAATTAGATCAACACTTGACTTGGTCAAGCTCAAGTTTCCTCTCCCTTAACTCTTCTAAGTGTCGCGTCACCACTTACTCTTTACTCAGCTGCGACAGACTGTGCACTATTTTAAACGCCTCTTTTCTTTTGGTTGTGAGTGACCGAGGCGTCTTTCGTTTAAAATCTGTGCAGTATCTCTATGCTTTCTTGTAGGTTGTCCTGGTCGACCCATATTCTCGAAAATTTTCGAAAAGTCAGTAGGCTAGCCTCTTATTCTCTTAGACTCAAACTGCTTTCCGTACCGTGAGTTCTAATTCAAAGTTTTGTAAATGCATGTATTCCTTACTGACTGTACTGTTCCACACTATTATTTCCGGACTAATTTAATATCCTCATACCTTTTTGTGAGATGCTCTGGTTTAAGCAACTAATGCCTCGTTGATTTTGGAGTCAGCAAACATTTTGACGCATGCATTAACTTCTCATCCAAGATGCCAAAAGACCACTTCCACCCTCCACATACCGTCTTAGCTAGTATAGAATCGATTTCTTTCATGAGGTCGAAAGTTAGTTTAATTTTTCCTTACCCGTTCTTATCGCAACTCTATTTTGCCTTATCTGTATCGTTTGGTACTCGATCCAACACTGATGAGACAACAATTTTGAGAGTGTTTTTACTTAAAAAGCAATTTGTGTCGAGTCAAATATCTTCCCACCGATTTTTGGTTGTATTATATCCGAGTGTTAATGTAAATTGATGCAAATTCTCTCATCCGGAATACAAAGCATGTTTTGTCCTGAATTGACTTGAATTTCATCGAAAACTGACATACGCTTTACTCCGAGACAATTATATGGCCATCACGCGGCTATTCTGCCCTCAATTAGAGCATATTCTAACATAAAATTCTTATTGTACTCGTTTCCTTTAGGTACACTGTAATTCTCTCGGCAATCCGGTGGCTTTATCAGTGACTCCTCTGTACGAGTGTTCTACCTGACAATCCTAATTAGCCATTGCTGTGACTATAGCCCAGGTTTCTTACTTTGACGCCACCGACTGTCGCGGTGATCTTACAGTTTCTGAACCCATAATGTGAGAGTAGATTGTACAATCAACACACCGCACCTTGCTGAAGTTTTGGCGATATCCATTCTCATTATTTGTCTGATATAACGTCGCGGGTTGATGCGACGTTAGTGTGTCAACTTTTAAGTTGAAGCCTGAACGTTCAGCCGTTAAAAATTTGGACGCTGTTGACGCGAAGTCATGGAGAATCATAATTCGTTCAACTCTGTATATTTGGTGCTGGTACATGGTACTTTAATGCAGTCACCGCTTTGTTGTTTGCCAGGCTGTACCTTTGACTCAAACTGTATTTTTACGCTTAGTAATGTTTGGAATTTATACTATAGAGCGATCCCAAAACCAACCGGTGAACAAGAACGCGTTGCTATCAATGCTAGTGATGTACGAGGCACGAGAGGAAGAAAACAAATCAAAATTAGGCAAATTGCGGACGTTAAATATGTTCTTCCATTGTTACTCAGCAGTGCATTTACTGCAGCAATACTGAATCGCCAGTGTTAACGTTCGAATCTTACCAAAAGCAGTTTATGTATGCCACGGGAAATGCTATTAAATGATGCTAAATATAAGCTACTCGTGCTAAATTGGTAAGCGTTATTGAAAAGAAAATTGCTTTTTACTAACTAACATAATCTCTTAAGGTAAATTCACTGTAAACACGCACTTGCTGTTGCGAGGGCGCCAAGCAACCCCGCAAATTTTACATAACACCGCCTACGTCACCAGGCCAAGCAGCGGAGAAAATTTAATTCACCCATCGTAATACATTCGAGGTGAGTCATTCTCTCTAAATTAAAGCGGCGTCCCAGTCTGCCCTCGCCTTTTCTTTGTCGTAAAGGCACTGTGCTAAGGGCTGTCTTCATTCTCTTACGCTGTGCTCTATCGTGTGAGCGAAATGCGTCTACCGATTTTCAAGTAAATTGCCCCTCATTGCGGGCCCTGAGAAAACCTTGAGGATTTCTAATGGCAATCCGGAGATCCAATCGGATCTAACACGATGCACTACACACAAAAGCGTGGCGTCTGCCTACACCAACTTGCATGGACCTTTACGCGGTGAGTCGTGGACTAGGGATACTTGAACCACCCATTCATACTGGTCAGTGTTGAGGACATGATATTTCGAGAAACACTGGATGCCTGTGGGCTCTGTACTGACCAATGTTTAGCCGTAGCACTAAAATTAACGTTACATAAAGGGTCTAATTTTGTGAAAAGGTATATCGCGTTGTCAGACGAGCGTACATGTGGTGCACAACTGCTGCTACTTCATTCCAGCTATGTTTCCATTAAAGTAGACAGACTGGCATACACATGAGCAATACGTTTTTGATGTGCCCGTCGGTGTATCAAATGTTAAAACACAGTCATGGTGGACACGCCGGTAGACTGATAACTAGCGTCTAAAGAAGCACTGTAAAAAAAGCAGCGCTTTCCACTAGACCTTTTACATTAGGAATAATAACCACTTCGTTGAGGAGAATTTTCTTGTTTTTAGTATTTTGCTTTCGGTTAAGTGAATCAGGTTCTATCTGAAATTTGTTTCCTGAACAACGTTCGGTACTTGAAGATTATCCGGTTGTTTCAGTTAAGTGCAGTTGATGATTCGTGATCCGGGCAACAAGGTGCCTCGGATGAAACCCAGACCATCAGCTTGGCGCTATGCTTAATACGTGACCCATTGTGTCTGCGTTAATTTAAAGTAGCCCACCGTTCCGTGCATATGGAAAACAAACTCCTCAGTGTTAACATTACTGAGTGAATGTACATGTGATCCAAAACCCAATGGCAAAATCTATTCCGTTTATCTGGATCGTTTGGATTCAAAACCTGAACCTGGAGTGTACGAAACCGACAAACATTTCGTTTTCTCAAATTCTTCCGAACCGCGTAGCGGATGGTCACGCAATGCTGGTCGATTCCACGTATGCTGAGATCTGACCTCTCAAATACCACGTAAAACCGTGCAAGCTGCAAAATCTGAAGTATTAATGCAAAGCCGCCCTGATTTTTTGGCGTCGCACACACTCCCAGTTTTGTGGAACGTGTTCACCAATAAAAGCACATAACGGCAACTGACGGGTCGCTTTCCAGTATTTATACTGTTCTATCTTCAAGCTGCTTTGGCGGCTTATAAGTAGCATTAGCCATAAAGCTGAATAATTTGAACGTGCTTTGCGTCAGGCCCGCTACGTCATTCTGTCCGCAGGAACATCACCGACGGGAGATTAAACTGGTGTTCCACCAACTGATAACTGACAAGAATGCCACCGCTTATCTTGGTCTGCCAAACACTCTGTCCTCAAACATTGACCAGAATGTATCAATCGTTCAGGTATCCCTAGTCAGCACACCATCGAGTGAAACTCCATGCAAGTTGGGGTAGGCAGACGCCACGCTTTCGTGCGTGGTGTATCGTATGAGATCCGATTGAATCTCCAGACTCTCGTTAGAATTAATTGAGGTTATCTCAAGGTGCGCAATGAGGGGCAATTTACTTGAAAAGCGGCAGACACATCCAGGTCACACGATAGTTGTTGTGCCACATTTAGTCAGTCGGCAGAACGTCGGTGCGTGCGACTAATGACGGCTAAGATTCCGTCGTTGTTGCAATCGGTCGTCCTTCTTCCGCATGCGAACGGCACATTTGGCGAGATGAATGTACGTGTCGATCAGCCTTACCTACAAGTGAAACTTGGCACGCCGCGTCACTGAACTATACCGCATTGATTACTGGGGTCGAATAAATAACGGGGGTGACTAACCTGTTATCGGCTGACGGAGACGATATCATCACTACGCATTGGTTTATGTAATCATATTAACCAACTGGACACTTTTTATATAAGCCTTGCTCCGTATTAGTAAGGACCACATAGTTTAACCACGAACGTTGTGGAAGAATAAGGTTTCTGCAAGAATGTTGTCATATTGTACCGTTACAGTGGTATTACTATTAAACTTACTATGAACTTAGGGCATATGGCAGTCATCCTGCAGCAGTGTACCTTTATATGTTTACCAAACTTTCATCTTAGACTGCTAGTCAAAATGTTTTGTAACATTTTCATGTGACACTCTTACTGACTTCTGATTTGCAATGGTTACCCTAAAGTGAAAGTTGCTCCGTCTCTACAATATGTTAATCCAGACTACAAAGCGTATTACATTACTGACTGTTTCCTTTTAGTTTATGCATCAATCACACGCAAGCTTATACGGTATATAGCTAAACTGAATACTGATGGCATCGAGAGCACGGACTGAGGTTGCAACTACAATTAAGCTGAATGAAATTTTTTTCCTTTGTATCTTTATAGCAGAGCGAATGCATTCAGCACGTCTCAGTTCTTCATTTGAAAGGTGATCCTCGAGCTAATCTCTCTTTTGAAGTATACTTTCCAACTTCTCGACTTTAGTTTTTTTTCATTCACAAATTCACTTACTGCTGCTATGGGGTTCGTAACCTGGAATATATGCTGTTACAAGCTGCAGTTCGTATCATAATACAGTTTTGCAAACAAACAATACAAAAGCTACGGTTGCAATATTGCATTTATGCACACAGCAATTGTGGTGGCAAATCACTGCCTTCACTAGTGTTTTCACTTGTTTTATACGTTTGTTCACAAAAATTTAAATTTATTCTTAAAGCAGAGCGTTAAATTATTTCCTCGAGCACTTTTTAAGCCCAACTTATTGTTTGGCAGAATGCGGCTCTTTAGCAGCCAGATATATTTCAGGTGCAATAAACAGTAGCAAGTCGGCCGGTCTCGTTGTATTACCTAAAATAGTAACATGTATATCAGAGTCATTGTTTCCTCTAACACCTATGACCTGGTACCTCCACAGGGAAAAGTGTGTCCTGTCCTTTGCCGTGTTTACCGCACTGCTTTCTTTAGACTGGTCCGTTAGTAATGGTTGTGAGAACGGCACCTAGGCGCCCATTTTGCAACTTTAAGAATCTAATAGGGCCAGCTGTACCAGTTGAACACGAAAGGAGTCAGAATGCTGGACCGAAGGAAAATTACAAAGCAATATAAACTAAGAATATTTGTACACTCTCCCATCATATGATCTTAAGGGAAAATTAAATCACTGTGCTATACCGGTTTTAGCGTACAAAGCAATAAAATCATTTTACTTAGCTATTAAACAACACTGCGTATACTTGTGTTTCATGACGGAATGGAAACTTTCCACATAACTGCAGAACAGTTAGTAGTAAAAACCGGTATATATTGGCGTGATGGTATATTTATATATGTCAATTTCGTATTACGAAGTGCTCATATGCACAATGGTATAGTAAAACATGCTCACATATTCAAAACGATAATAAACTGACATAAAGACATAATTCAAATACTTTGTACGAGCAAGCTGAAGGAACTCAAGCCGGGCTTGCTCCGAACTGGAGGTGGAAAGCTTACCAAGTCTGCCTCCGACGCACATTTTGTAGAAATAGGTTACGCCATTAAGTCGGTTGATTCGTACAAAATAATCTATGTATTCCAGAAAATCGATCAAACTATGTTCGTAAGCAGATGTTAGACGCGGCATTCTCATAGCAGTTCGGCTGTACGAATCACGGCTTTGCATGCAAAAGTGATTCAGCTAGGCGTTGGGTATGCCCTGGCATGGACGGATCACAGTTGACCCGTGCGAGAGTGAAGAGAAAATAGCGGGGACCTGAACAACGGTGTTCGTCAGTTGGTGTTAGAATCAGGTGGCTAATGTATGCTCTGTGTTGCCTGTTTACAAATTGTTTTCCTCACGTAATTACACGTGTATAATAATGAATTACTGAAAACATAAATTGGGTTAAAATTCCTTGAAATTAGGTACCTCATTTAAGTCATCTACATTTGTATGTGACACAAAGACCGCATAAATATCTACGGTGTTAACTAATGAAGGAAGAACCGTAGGGTCAGTAGTTTTCCTTCAAACTGTACTAATCATCCATTTCAAGAAGATTCTCTGCCAAGAATCCTTGGTAATTTTATAATCCCGGCAGTTTACTAAATGGCGATTACCAGAATGCTATTGGTGCCTCACGCTCTGTTTCACTTGCTAGCCAGGAAAGGTAACTTATTAATATGTACCGTCCTTAATCCGTTGACATTAACTAAGCTAAACAAGTAAAAATCAGTGGTTTTTGTTTCGATATATGTATGTCCTCTGTTTTCTTGCTAAAATGAATTGTTGCTTGCTAAAGTATCACTTCAACTACTTTTTATCATTGGTACACTATCGGCAATTTCACTCGCTTAGGAACATTTCCACTCTAAAATTAATAACTTTTGAAGTGGTGCTGCGCAGTACGCAGCTAAGACTTACTGGAAACACCTAACATAACTTTTATTTGGCATATACCTTTGGTTTGTACGTTAATATTGCACCATATGTTGCCTACTAAACTTCTTTACTGGAAGTGACTTATGTTACTCTTGCTACCTTCACTAGTTGATTCTTTGAAGTAACATGATGAGACATGATGAGACATTTTCCACTAATTATTTCTTCGTCCGTGGCTTATATCAGTATGTAAGCTCTATGGTAAAGCTTACATGATTAGGTGAAACTGCCTCTATATATTTTATTTCGATTCTCCTCCTTGAATTTGTTTTATATAATTCATGACCATATCTCGACCTACTGCTTAATATTAGCACGACATTTTCCTGATATATTGTGTCGCATGATAAATGTTCCGAACAACTAGAACTACATCCGCAGTTGGCTTGCGCATGTGTGCAAGAAGAAGCCAATCCGCAGAGTTTTCTGCCATTTACCTTGTTAATATTTATCTATGCAGCAATAACAGCTTTTTGAATATTTTACTTCCTTTCATCTCAGGCGTTTTGCACCCCGTTAACACGCAATCATCTATGCATTCAAGCACTTCGCCGCCAACAGCAGCCAATTACGGGTCTTTCTTGTTTTGGGGTAACAATTACAACCCTGATTACTTGGCGATGTTTAGCGGTAGATACCGAGAAATTTCGCTTTGAAGAATCCGTGCAGAGGGAACAAGCTCGAAAAGTAACAAGTAATTGCCATAATGTAGGTGAGTCCTGCTCAGATCCACACCATTTTCATGAAAGTAAACAAATCTACGACTCGCATTGTTCGTTTACCATAATAAAGGTAGCTAAGATTGTGTAAAGCAGCTGATCTCGGCGATAAAGGTAGTATTGTAGATGAGTCCCCTAGAACTTGAACTAAAATAAGCACTCTTTGAGTAAGCTTTAAAGAAGCTCAGGTTAATTGCGGTGATAAGTTAGTGCCTACATATATCTAAGCGGAAAGGAGTCAGCGCACACCTACCATTATTGTAGAATACTGGATGTCTGTATCTGAGAAGGACGATAATAGAAGATTATAAATAGCTATCTTCACAGCAGAGTTCTAAGCTACATCTGTATACATATGAATATAAGAACTTCGATGGCAGCCATCGTACTTTTAAGAAACTTCCAAAATAAGTTATATTCCTCACTATGGACGGTTGTCCTAATGTAGGCAATATTTTTGCCTTACTGCTATGGTCGCCATGAAGATGCTATCAGCTAATGCGTGTCATTACCACATGCCAACATATACCTTAGAACAAGTGACGTTGTTCGGGATTCGGCAAATACCTCGAACAAGAGACCATCAAACCGGTTCCAAATTAAGTTGCGACATGGAGTGACTAGATTAAACACTCCGTCGCATCCTCCCACACTGTGGGCTACAGCAGCTGCAAGCCCGACTTCTTATGTAGCAGATTACATCTACCATACCAGCCCTAACGATAAGTCCTCACTATTTTGTTGTATCTTATGTATCATCCCACCTTGCAACCTTGTTGATGGCATGTGTTTCATTATTACCATATGTCTCCATCCATCGCTGATAATTGCTTAACTTAATATTGTCGTTTAGATACACGTCACACTTTAAGATATGATACGGTTTTTATACTTGCACTAGCGATTCATGTTAATTTGATGATTATGAGAATTACTCTTATTTTCAATCCTAACACTTGCACGCTTTTTTATTATTATGGTTCATGAGGTTGCTAGCTTTTCTATTTAGTTCGTGGTAGTTCATACACAGCTGTGGACAAATGCATGTGAGTTATGTGACTAGACTAGCTTTACACTGCCATTGTGTAGTGGCCTAGATCGAGACTGACGAAACACATGATGCGCTTTGTGGGCTCCTGCAGGCCAAACTAAACTGACTGCCTGTCTGTCTATCTGTTGTCTGTCTGTCGGAAGTGCGGTTGAAGGGTGAAAACCCGTGTGATCTGTAGTGCCTGGCTTAGCTTGCTGTGAATGTTGACAAATTGTCTACCTGTGTAACAATCCTCAACAATCCTCAACATAGTATGTGAATCTTTGCGTCGGAGGACATGGGCACCGCCACTATGAATTCGCTAGGCTCAAATAGTGGTAACATTTAATCCGTTTGGAGCTGACTGCGGCACAACCATTGCCTTGTGTACGTATGGTAAGCGTGATTCCCCACATAGATATACAGGAAGGCAGCTGTTTTCGCACGTTGAAGGAGTGTGAGCAGGCTACGTTGATGAAATGTGGATCCCATCCACATACTTTGGGGATATGAGGCTTGTGGCTGGAGCTGTGGTTGCTGATGCGTACACCACTCATGGTCCCTCATTAAGCGCATGCGTCCTGTATCTGTCACCATTGAGGACACAGTGACAGGTAAATGCGGACAGGGATAACACCAATCAAATATATACCCATCCTACCCATAAACACTTATCACATATTTGTTCATTAAAACAAATTCCACATACCACCATTGAAATCAAATGTAACCACTATGTAATCAGGAAGGTAGCCAAATTATGAACCGATTCCATTTCTTACCGATTAATATTACCTTTTATTAAACTGAAGGCTTTCGTCAGAAGACGCGTTCGTTTGATATGCTAGAAGATTGAGAGATTCACGACAGTTTTTCAGCGCTCGAATATCGGGATGCATTGCGCAGCCGCGTATTGTAAAAGTCACTTTGATAAGCACTGTTTGAATACCCTGAACATTCAATGTAGGACTGATTATCCAATTGTCGTTATTGTCTTGCAGAACTTGACAGACGCCGAATACCTTCTGTTGCAGCAAAGGATGCGTTTGTAGCCGCCACTGTTAGCAATAAATAAAGTGCCTATAAATAATATGATTCCGTCTATCCAGAATATAAGAGGCATCATTGCAAACTCAAAATCAATAATATTGAGCACCTATAGTGTTAATAAGTTTGGTTTAGTTAAACGATAAGATTTCCAACAAGGTAAATATTGAGGGAGCAAGAAAAGCACTGGTATGCTTGTGTAGATCTTCCTTCTGCTATGGAGGTTCAACGATGTTTGTTTTAACGCATCATTTCGCCATTC